TTAGTACCTGAGGTTGAACCATCCTCCTACATTATCATTCAAATAGAAAACAACTCTTCGATACCATACGACATAACTACATCAGCTGCCATCTTCCCAAATGCACAGAAGAAATATGTATAAGTTTTAACGTTCCAAGTTTCTCACTAATTATGGTTAAAGCTGACATCTTCATCTCTTTGTAGTGTCTTCTCACTATTCAGATCATTTTCTACATTCTATACTTGAAAAAAACCCTTTCATTTTCCTCATTTTAGCTCTGTTGACCATATGTATATTCCCCTTATAACCTTTGACTTCCCACAGTAATTTTCTACAGTTCCTAGCTTCCAGGGTACATGTATGATACCACATTCCTCCTTCTGTTTCACAGATGCTTGCCTTGTAAACCACTGTGGCTTTTCAGCAAATGCATTCCTTAGTTGTTGGATTATGGCTTTGTGGGTATCTGGGCTAAGATCCTTAAATGGTTTCCAATTATCATTCTCCCATTTCAGATTAAATTCTTTCTCCCAACAGAATTACCTTATAATAGTATTCACCTTTATAAATAGTCCTTTCAAAGCATTAAGTGTGTATATTATTGGTTTGGACTTAATTCTGTTTGCACATAACAAATGTGATCAAATCATTATCAGTTATATCTAAGCTATGGCTAATTTTTCGTTCTGTGATCAATTCCTTTTCATCTGACAAGATGAGGTCTAATATAGAATTCCCCTGTGTTGGATGCAACACTTTTCGAGTTAGGAAATTGACATTTAAAATATTTTGAAATTCCAAGTACATTTTAACACTGGCAGCATGAGACCTCCGGCATATGTCACTCAGATTGAAATTCACTGCAGCACAGCAGTGTTTTCCCTATATGTTGTAGGTGGGTAAAGGCATAGGTTATGCTGTTCTCTAGTGTGATTTGATATCAGCTAAGTACCCTCTCAACTTCTGACTTATCCGTTAGAACACTGACCCATAAACATTCAAGATCATTTGCTTCCGATTGCCATCAACTCAGAAACAGGTAACGCCACTTTTGAAGTGCTTTCTGTCCACTTGATCCAAAATAGATTATAACAATTGATTTTGACATTCCAGTTTTCCAACCAGTTTTAGCAAGAAAAACTAGGTCAAATCTGTGCTAAAAAATGACCTCTTCTGCTGGTGTCAAGTTTCCAACAGTAAAAAAGAACCTACTGAAAGATCTCTGCTCTTTGTGTTCTTTAACATCCCGGTTATGGTTTCTTTTACCATTTCCATTTGCACTTACCACAAGCTCATTGGTTCCTTCTCACCATTTCCATTTCCTTCAAGCTCCCAGACTCCTGAGCCAGTCAGTCCCTTAGAAGAACTGTTCCTTTATTGCAAGAAATTAAGCAGCAGGCTCTCATCAACAGAAAGTGACAACATTTTCTGCAAACCAAAAGCCTTCACGTTATGTCACTCACCTACAGATTAAGCCTTGTCTTTTCTACTTGCTCTTTTCCATTGCTCAAAGGTCCTGATGGATGTCGGAGAAAATGAGAGGTCCTGAGAGAAAAAAAGCCTGCTCACTGCAAGCGTTCATCTATAATCTAATGACCGCCCACAAACCTTCCTTTAAGTATTGATAAGATATTGTCACTGATTCTTTGCTTGCCAACTTCAGAAACTTACTTAGCTTTGAGAGATACTCCCATTTGAGAGAAGCTCATTCGGAGCTCATTTGAGCTCCAAAAAAGCACGCAAGCCCTTGGAGGACCCGTTAACACCTCCAGCTGGGCTAGTTTCTCACAGCTTCCATATTTTTCATGGCTTACACCGGACTTCGCGGCTCACCTGGCCTGC